AATCCTATTGATCATTCAGCTCGCCACCGACTACAGCTCCTTTTGTTTCTTCTGTTTCCACATTTACCTCGGTGGAATAGACATGACTTCAGTCGCTCAGCTCACAGTCCTGCAGAAGAACCTGAAGACCATCTACAATCCCATCGAGCCTTCAACAGAGAATACCATCTTTCAAGAAATCCATGAAAAGGCACTAGGAGTTGATAGCCTGTCCCAACGACGTCAAGGCACTCCACAAGAACGTAATCATCGATTTCGTGCTTTTCTTCAGGATCTTAATTTGCCTGGAGTTATCCGAGACAATGACTTTCGGAAATCGTCCGCCTGTAATTTAAAAAAAAATTACATCAGTGAGTTTTCAGTTGACTGACTCAGCTCCTGAATTCTTTTATATCATTGCGTTTATCTTTCTAGATCTCCACCCCATCATTTTCGTTTTTGACCCTCACGAAGACAAGCATTCACATCATCAGAAACGATTAATGAGTAAAGACTGTCTCCTCTGATTGTCAATTACATCACTCTTACCTGTGATTGCTGTAGATGTACCTTTGGTCTTCACATTTAATTTAAAAAATAGGAGAATGATGGACGTTATCAATCAAATAATGATAAATGAACGAAAGTTGAGGTTCTTGATTTATTCACGATCACAAACAATCCTTTCCCATGCGTCTCCATCACTCATGTCATACCAGATCGATTCCTCGATACCTATCCTACAAAGAACTTATAGATTATCAGATACTGATCCTCGAAGATGGATATTGGACGTGATTTGCACGAGTCACGTAGTGATTCGAGTCACGAACTTTCGGGGATTTCAATCTACACTTATCGCTGTCCATACGACTGTTGAATCATTTGAATCCAATTTCCGGGTTTAAAGTGATAAATATTAAATACTGAAAAAAAATCCGACTCTTGGACACTCATCACGCCGTCACCATGAATAAATAATAATATAGGTGCAACGTTGGAGGTGATTCACCAAGAGTTCAGAATTACGTCAATCATTCTTTGTACAGCTGGGGTCATGGCGCCGACTCCTGGTGATTCAATGGCGGTAAGAACAACAGCTCTCTTCATGAGGTGCTCCGGTATCTGGCCGGAAGATACTGTTCTTCGTCGACGTATCATGGACTTAATCGTCACCTACTCCATCGGTTCTCTCTTGTTCGCTTTTGCCGTCACCACTAACGATTTGTATCATTGCTATGGTGACGCTGCGGTTGGTTTCAACTAGTGCAATTGAGTGTGATTCCCCGAAATTTATCATTCACTCGTTTCAGAAAATGGCGTACTGTGCACTTAACCTATCAATCGCAGGAATGGGTCTCTACAAGCAGGTCATTTTCTCCAGACAAAGCAAAATGTTTCTGGCTGT